CTGAATGGAAAATAGATAGCAGGAAACTTAATCATTCCTTATGTCTTCTGCAATGCAGTTGTCTTGTCTTGCTTAAGTTAAACATATGTGTATATCTTTACGAATGTCAGGATATGACATTAATCATCTGGCTCGAGAAGCTCAAACTCGGTGGCTAAAGCCAGTTGAAGTGTATTTCATACTACAGAATTCTGAGGAACACCAGCTTACACATCAAATCCCTCAAAAACCTGCAAGTAATATTCATAAATATTTTCTCTTTCTTTTGTTGGGCCCTTCACCTGTACCGTGCTCAGGGCTGTGAAAAGGCATCACTTTTGGCCTTACCTCGCTAAATCATCCTATTACAGGTGGATCTCTTTTTCTGTTTAACAAGCGTGTGCTAAAATTTTTTCGTAAGGATGGTCATAGTTGGCGTAGGAGAAAGGATCAGAGAACTATTGCTGAAGCTCATGAACGGCTGAAGGTTGGTGAATTCTCTTCTTTTGGGGTTCACTTAGCTTTTCCCTTTCTTTTATGCTTCTTCTCTTGTTCCTTTTTCTTGTTTTGCCTTCATCAGTTGGAACTCGAAAGGGACCCTTCTGTCGAATGATTATATTATAATACTTAGAAGGAGTCGTCTAAAAAAATCTAATTTATGAAAACAGGAAAAGTTTGGCTTTATATTACTGGGCTAATTTCAGGACATAACCTATAATGACCTAAAGTTTTAGAAATATCATTATTTTTTACCACCAGGTACATAACACACTGGTTCAAAATTGAAGTGGATTAATTTAAAATTAATATATTTGTGCATTTAGTATTTTACATTAAACCATTACTGAGGGACAAGGCATCATGATTTTGTCAGCGATATGCTATCATTCTGTATGTAATACATCATAAGACCTGGTTGCAGTTGACTTTTACTAGACTTGCCTGTTGATGAGGTGTTCTTGCCTGGAAATCTTGTTGTTACTAGGTAGGGAATGTTGAAGCCATAAACTGTTATTACGCCCATGGAGAGAATAACTCTAACTTTCAAAGGCGCAGCTACTGGATGTTGGATCCGTAAGTATTCACATGTATTTCATGTCAGTATTTGCCCCACATAAATCTTTGTCAAGATTGTATTATTACATCTTTAGTGCTGAATAATACAAAATAGTAACCCATGGATGCAACTAGTGTATGAGCAAACTTTCCAATCACGAACTGTTTATTGGGTCCTAGAATTGTTTCTTACTTTCCTTTGCTAAAGTAATTCATGTTCTAACAGGGCATACGAGCATATTGTTCTTGTTCACTACAGAGATATTAGCAAGGTGAGTCTTCTTGAGCATAATCATGGGCAAAGCTTAATATTAGCTGGAGTTGTATGAGATGTTGTTGTAATGTTTCCAATTTGGCAGCACTGTCTTTTAATATTCTGGTTTCAAATAGAATTGCCATTTACTTCTTTCCCTGAAGCCTCTGGTGGAGCTAAACTTTAACTATGATTAGTAAATGTGTTAATGAGTACCTACCTTTTATGTCCAGGATTCCCCTGAGTGTGTACTACACTCCATGACCTTGTGACTTCATCATTTTTATGAATACCATCTTAGGTTTTTAACAATCTTCATAAAAACTTATTGTTGATTACAGGGGAGGGAGAATAATGGATCAACACCTCAGTTCTCTACATTTTCATCTCCTACCTTCAGTCTCACTCCCAACTCTTTTGCAACTGACCAGCCAGAATCCTCTGTTGTTATCGGCGAATCTCGTGAGCTGTACCACAATGAATCAAGTCCAAGCTCTGTGGAAATAACTTCTGGTCAACTCATCATGAACAGTAGCATAAACCCGTCCGATTATAAAAATAGAACTGATGAGGTCAGTAGCACATCACTTCAAGATTTAAGTCAGGCGTTAAGAAGACTCGAGCAGCAATTGAGTTTAAATGATGACGAGACAAAAAAATATGATACATTCTTCATCGAGAATGAGGAGTCAAATGATCTAGAAGACGTGCTACGGGATTATGAATTCTCTGGCCAGCCACCAAATGGTCCAAAAGGTATTTCATCGCTTTTAATTAGTTTTCCTTTTTTTCATAGTCATGTAATCCTCTGTGTTAATAGATCTTTCACTTCTTCAGATGATGGAGACATTTGGGAAGAGATGCTACATAGCTCGAAGGATTTTGCAAATGATAATTTGCAAGAACAATTTGGAAGAGCAGATGATCGTAAGTTTCCTCACAGGAAAATTTATTTATTATTAGTTTCGAAATCTTGATTATGCAAGAATTTGATAACATCTTTCCGTGCCAGCTTCCCTATTTATCCAAGAAACAGATTCACTTGAATATCCTGCGTATACTCCTGGCCCGCATTCTTACGAAAACACTCCAGACTCCTACTCATTGTTATTCAAGCAAGACGGGTTGGAAATTCCTCTTGAAAACAATATAAGTTTGACCATTTCTCAAAAGCAGAAGTTCACTATTCGTGAGATATCTCCAGAGTGGTGTTATACCTCTGAGGGTGCTAAGGTATGTCATGAATGGTGTTGCTATGACTTGCATCCGTATTTTATTGGCTTCCAAAGGTATCGATTATTGATTCGAAATCCACTTGCAGATATTCATTATAGGATCTTTCCTATGCGACCCATCAGAGTCTTCATGGGCCTGCATGGTTGGGGACACTCAAGTCCTGGCACAGGTGATTCAGGAAGGAGTCCTCTGCTGCCATGCGCCACCTCACCTGCACGGAAAAGTCAACATCTGTATTACATGTGGGAATCGGGAATCCTGCAGTGAAGTAAGGGAGTTTGAATATCGCCCTAAACCGAATCTTACTTCTCAACCACCCGAAACAGATGCTGCTAATAAAAGCTCTGAAGAACTCTTGTTGCTAGTACGACTCGTGCAGATGCTACTACTATCCAATAATACCCTTCAAACAGAAGATGCCTCGGAATCAAGAATCAATTTGTTTGGGAAATCGAGAAATTCGGAGGACTCGTGGAGCCATATAATCGATTCTCTCTTAGTTGGCAGCCCTTCAACATGGAAAACCCTTGATTGGCTCGTGCAGGAACTTGTCAAGGAGAAGCTGGAAGTGTGGGTGTCGTCCAAGCTACAAAAGAGTGGCAACAAAGGATGTTGCTCATTGTCAAAGAAAGAACAAGGTATAATACACATGGTTGCTGGGTTGGGATTTGAATGGGCCCTCCAGCCGATACTGAATTCTGGGGTGAGCATTAATTTTCGTGACATTAATGGATGGACTGCTCTGCATTGGGCTGCACGGTTCGGGAGGTATGTGTTTTATTTCTTTTTTGCTGGAAAGTTTCTTAAAACTTTAAATCTTCATTTTCTGAGAGACTTCCCTGTTAAGTCCTTGTATTGTTTCGCAAATTACAGTTCAACTTTTCATCAATTTTGAAAGTGAAATCTTGAATGGAAAACACACACACACACACACACACAATTATCAAAGATTATAATAATTTTTTTGTAATTAAGCAGTTGAATGTTTTTTAAAAAGAATGGAAAAGGAATCTACTGTTCCATCTTTCACGTACGCCATGTACTTAGGGTGTGTTTGTTTATATATAAATTTTATCCATACTCAAAATCTAGCTCAATTTTAACTCAACCTCACTATCCCCAATATTATCAATATAATTAAATAATATCAATCAACCATTCTTACACATGATATCAACTTTAATTCACTATTCATCCACTCACATAATTTTAACTAAAAGCGTTACTTCACACTATCTCTCTCGTACTTTTTATGTGAAATCAACTTTATTATTATTTTACTGTAAATTGAAAATCCCAGTAACAACTAATAATACCACTTTTCCAAATTAACACTAATTAACCAAAAAAACCCTGTTTATATTTGTATCCAACCACGCCCTTAATAATCATTGAATGGACATAATAATGTTATTTAGGGAGAAAATGGTTGCAGCTCTGATTGCATCGGGCGCATCCGCTGGAGCCGTGACAGATCCCAACTCGCAAGACCCCACCGGAAAAACTCCGGCGTCAATTGCGGCCACCTGCGGCCACAGGGGACTTGCCGGATACCTCTCGGAAGTGGCTCTCACCACCCACCTCTCATCTCTAACCCTAGCCGAGAGTGAGCTTTCCAAAGGAGCGGCCGCTATTGATGCAGAGAGAGCAGTAGTCAACAGTCTATCAAAGTCAGCAGCGAATGAGGAGGAGGAGGAGCACGACTCCCTCAGGCACACACTTGCCGCCGTTCGTAACGCCGCCCAAGCGGCCGCACGCATACAGTCAGCTTTCCGGGCCCACTCGTTCCGTAAGAGGCAGCAGAGGGAGGCTGCCACAGACGATGATGACTTCTCCTCCTCCATCATAGCCAACGGTGCATCCAAGCTGGCATTTCGCAATTCAAACTCGGCTGCATTGTCCATTCAGAAGAAGTACAGAGGGTGGAAGGGACGCAAAGACTTCCTTGCTTTGCGTCAGAAAGTCGTCAAGATACAGGTCATTGCTTATAAAAGATTCTTCAACTAAAAGCTTGTTTTAAAAAGATTCAATTTTTTTTTTATTTATTTATTTTGTTGTGAACGCGTGGTGTATATAGGCTCATGTAAGGGGATACCAAGTGAGGAAGAATTACAAGGTGTGTTGGGCGGTGGGTATACTGGAGAAGGTTATACTGAGGTGGCGTAGGCATGGAGTTGGCTTACGTGGGTTTCGACTGGACTCAGAGCAAATTGACGATGATGACGAGGAGGACATACTCAAAGTGTTCCGCAAGCAGAAAGTGGATGATGCCATTGACGAGGCTGTCTCTAGAGTGCTGTCTATGGTCGACTCTCCTACTGCTCGCCACCAGTATCATCGCCTTCTTCTCAAATATCGCCAAGCTAAGGTAACCAACCTACTTTACTGTCAATTAATTTTGATGATTTGTAATGGCTTTATTGTTATGTATTGTGGCAGGCGGAGCTGGAGACATCAGACCCTGATATGGCATCATCATCATCATCTTCTCAACGTGACATTACTTCTTCTTCTTCTTCTTCTTACCTTATGGGGAACGATGAGATTTATTAACGATGAGATTTATTAGTGTCTAGTTCTGTTAATTTCATTGCTGTGTAGAAAAAGAGGTCCTTTTTTTTTCCAAGTCAAAGACACAATTTATCATCGTAGTAGCTGTGCTTAAACAGTTGGTATTTTAGTTTTGATGGCTAATAAGCAGAAAAGTACATAGTCCAGTGGTAGCGATGCTAAAAGATTTATTTGAAGGGACAGCCACAAAGGCATGTTTTGACATTGAACTATTCTCAAGTCGAAAAAGAAAGTTTGTGTTTGAAATCTGGTTCTCCAAAATCATGACAGATAAATTTGCTGGTGGACATTATAGATTTGTTATAAGCAAGCTCTAATTGCATTTCATTACACACAAAAAGCATCAAATCCAGGACATAAATAATGCTACTTCACCACAAAAAGAAACAACTCTCAAATCAAGTCTCAACCACATGTCATAACCAAACTCCAAACACATTCTTCCAATCTCTGTAAGGAGAGAGAGAGAGAGAGAGAGAGAGAGAGAGAGAGAGAGGTCTTAAATTCGTCTTAAACCCAACAAAACAACCATGGACAAAATTCTCATTTGATGCAAAATCTTATCCTTCATTTCTCGATTTGCAGAATTCTTATGCATAATTCAGCCGGAAGATGTCATTGAGCACAAAATAGCTGCCCTGAGGTGTTGGCATTAGATGGAACATCTGTGTAACCAAAACAAAAGATGGCACATCATTAATGAGCAACATCGCTGCAATGAACTAATTCTTGTATCGATTTTGTTTCCGGANTACATAATACACCAATCATCTTATTCTGCATTCGACATAGCTCTACAAAACGCAAGATCAAAAATACTTTCCCTATTTTTTTAATTTTATCCTTCACACTCCAAACAAACCAAACATACACTCCAAACAAACCAAACATGATATAACTATCTCTTCCACCCAACTTTTATTCTTTAAGGACCCAAATTTTGTTCCAAGTTCCAACACATGAACCAATTCACCAACCATGTCAAACCTTTCCATTTCAGTTAAATACTTCAAATCATCGTTCCGTTTGGATCTTGGTAGGTTCAATTCATATAATTGATCAAGGATATCGTAAACCACAGTATCTAAAGTAAACACAAGTACACTCACAAACTCAATCAGGTCATATAGTTTTTCCAATCTATCTTCTACAGCTAGGCTAGGACAGACTAATCTGATTTCTAAATCCCAATATCGTGTACGAATTTGCAGCAAATCGTGACATACAAACTTACAATCAAATTAGAAACAAGAAACAGCTCGATGCCTTCAATTACATGAATCCAAATCCAGCCAAAATACAAGAAAAGAGCAAAATCACAAACTCACACTAGCAAAATTAATATTTGAAAAAAAAAAAAAAAAAACGAAAACTTGCCTGGCTAAACTTGAGCGGATGCTGCTCGCCGGCTATCTGAAGATTGCCGGAGACAAAAACAAGCATCCCACCAGCAGGGCCTGATTGCTGGCAATCGACAGTGGAGACTTGATGCTGGCACTGCTGGAAAGGCAAGCCGGTTAGCTTAGCGGTGATCTGCTGGGGCCCCTGGAACTTCTGGCCTTCAAAGGTGAGCATGGACGGGTCCTGGTAGAGATTGGCAAGCCCGGCCCGGTTCTGGTCGAACGTCGTATAGTAATGGGCAACGAAGGCCTTGGACAAAGCTTCTGGATCTACCGCCGCCATTGGGTATTCGTTTCCTTAAGTGATTTCAGGCTGCCGACTGCGGATGTAAGGAGAGGGTTTATAGGGATGAGTTTTTGTGGGGATAAAAAGGTCATTTACATGTTGCGTCTTTTCAAAGCTGTAGACATGGTTGACATTTGAAGTTTATCCCTTAAACATAAACAATTAATAATAATAATGGAAAATTTGTTTCTTATAATAAGACTTTGTTGGCCAAAAAAAAAGGTTTCAAATTGAAAGCGGAGAAAGATAAATAAAAAACAACGTCGACAGCAGGGTTCGAACCTGCGCGGGCGAAGCCCAACAGATTTCAAGTCTGTCTCCTTAACCACTCGGACATATCGACTTTGATATCATTGGCTGGGATCTAACTTTTCTGACAAATTGTTTTAGATCTTATTTTAAAATGAGATGCAAGTGTTTTGAATAACTGTTATTCCTAAAATTATTAGCTATTCAATTAATGTTATTCCTCAAAATTTCTTGCTCATTTTATTTTCATCTAACTATGGAAAATAACTGTTACTTTTTGCATTACCTAATTGTGACAATATTTTTTAATTATTTTATTATATTATAATTACTAATAATATTAGCTAATTATAAATTTATGTTGAAAGTTGTATGTAAGTTACACACTTATAAAAAACGTTATAGCAAAACATTTTTTCCGTGCTATATATTTTAAAATTAATATTATCTCTTATTTTTATTACATTAGGCGATTTTTTTATGTATCTTATAATTTTAATGGCATAACCAATCCTTTAAATTTACTTAACTAGTTGTATAATAATATTTTTTAACTAACTAATTGGTTATAATTCCTTAAATTTGTAAAAGTAAAAACATATTATTCATTACATTTATGCAATGAATGTAGTTTTTATATACAAGTAAAATAATTAATAATTATATGTTCATTGCTACTAATGATCATAATTATTGAATGTGATATATACATTATATAACTTATAATTTTAAATATAATATTTTAGTTGCATTTGTGTATGTGCTTAAGATCGAATATTAGTTATGCACAACATCCAAGTTAACTCATCTAATGAACAAATTTAAGGGTATGGTTACTGTGAAGTGTAAACATTTATGATATTGATTGATCAGCCACGTGATGGAAGGTGGTAACTAGCCACGTGATGCAGGGCCGTCTCCAGAAATATGGAGGCCCCAGATAAATTTTTTTTTTTTTAAATTTTCCATTTTGACGTTGCGTGGTAATTAGGGCTATTTGCAGATAGAATCATAACATAAAAAAAAACATAATTAAAAAAGACTATTAAATAAATAAATAATTGAAAAAAAATATTTTTCTTGTTTTTCTAGATCTTGGAACTGATAAATTGCCTTTGGGTTACAAAGATCTTTAATAGATGATATTCAAGCAGTCACGGGGACACAAGGAGAATAAAATAAAAATCATATCACTGCAACGAATATTTATTTTCGCACAACTTGTTCTGACCGAATATCATAAGAAAATAAATAAAATATTTAGGACCTCAAATTCTCACACAAAGTACATATTTTGTCATTAGCCTTTTCGTTTGTGTAATGGGTCAAATCCATATTTAGCCATTAGCCCTTTTATTTGTGTAAATATGCCAAGCCCAACAAAAAAAAAAAAATTGAGGCCCTAGGCATGAGCCTACCTTGCCTCCCCAAGGAGCCGGCAATGACGTGATGGAAGGTGGTAACAACCCAACCTAACTTTTGTTTCATTTATTATAATTATTATTACTATTATTATAGTTAATTAAGTGTGTGTGGTTTAGGGAAATTATAAATCTATATATAATTACTGGCTCATGAGTATTTAATAAAACTTATTAAATTATACCTATGTGACAATATAATTTTTTTCCTTCAAAAACCGTTACTTTTTATTTATTTAACCTCTCATTTTATTATTATATAATCAACACACTAATCACTTCAAAATTACAAAAATTATTTTAAACTTTTTATTTACTTACAGCTGACTATATAATTTGTTGACTATTTAACGTGATTAGATGTTATTGTTGTTGTTACATTTAAATTAACTTCTTTTGGAAAATAAAAAATGTATTTGAAATTCCTAAATAAATAATAAATAATTCACAAAAATATACATACAAAAATATACATTACATCCAATATGATAAACACAATTTAAAAAAATAAATATTCCAGCTCCTTTAATTGTAAATTTGGCTTGCAAAAAAGTGCAAGAAAAATCATTAATCATTATATGCATACAAATAACTCACAATATTTTATTTATATCCGTGCAAATACACAGGTCGAATACTAGTTAACATCATAAACGAATACACGTGTGCATAAAGACAACAAATGCAGTGTTAAATGGTCCGTCCGTGTTGAACGAGAATCTTGGTGGTAAAAATTGATTGCATCTAGATCTCAACATTAAAATCCTGAATTTGTGCAGCTGTAACAACGAGTGTTTTCGTTTGTAAAATTGAGAAAATTGTTGGATTTTAGTCGTACGAACCCAGCATACGCGCAACGGAATTTTAAAATTTTCTTACCAACAACGAAGATCCGGCTATAGCTATTCGATATGATCCTGGACCGTCTGAATAATTAACGAAAACTTACAGTTTAAGCTTTGTTTTCAACTATGGTATCCACGCAATCCAGATCCCGGTGCACGATCCAACGCAATAAATCATTTCCGGTGAAGACGCTATGAATCCTCAGTCAGAAAGCAAGAGAGTGTTCTGTTCTTATTTCTCTCATCTAATGATCGTTAAGGACTACAATGAGATACTGACCTATTTATAATTAGGTCAAACCTAAATATATGGGCCTTAGGAATCCTATAGCTCAATAGGTAATTGGACCTAATCCAATTAATAATTTAATTAAGTATAAGTCTAATTTAACTTAATTAAATATTTTTTTTATCAAATAAAAAATAATCCCATTACTCATAAATAAATATTTCAATCTAATTGAATATTTAGTACTCTCGATTCACTCTTAGCCGGAAACTAGATTGCATATTGTGTAACCCTATAGGCCTTCACATATTGACATAAATCTAATTTACGATCCTTACGAAACTCCTAGACTGCGTCAAAGGACGAACTCAAAATATGAAGTACGTTTACATAGATAAAACAAACAAACCTTTGGTGTAGAATTCAATAGTGATACGATCCCTTCATTCACGAACCACTCGATTAAGTTTAGGACTTGAACGTGTGTCTATCCAAACAACTTAATCATTTTATCTTATCTCACTAGTTGATTTTAATTAATTATATTTGAACACCATTTCAAATATAATCACGTGCATTGCCAATGACTTTATCAACCCAGTATAGAGAAAACGAGTGTTCTCTCGAAACTATATTCGAGGAATGAATCTTATCTTGGCTCAACTACCAATTCCATGTATATCGTGATCAACCCAACACAAGCCCGTATCTACCCATAAGGGCGTAAGCTTTGGACTAGGTCTAAGTAAATAACTCTATACATGAATTGCGTATTGACCTCAATTTAAATGACTATTACACCATTCCACACACCGATACTCCCATAGACACATAAACAAATAGTTTACCGGCAGAGTATGTCAATACTCTCCAAAGTATCCATGTGTCCATCACGAATAACAATTATTCATAGCAGTGAGACATACTATATTCTCCAAGAATGTGATGCAGACCACATGTCAATCTATCACGTAACATTAATATCACTTTCTTAATGATTATCGATTGAGGCATTTTGAGAGTTATACTTTATCAATTAACATCTCACTCTGTTAATGACAGTATCAACTCAAGGGAGCAATTAGTTAATAAATTGCAAACAACTAAATAATTATTTAATTAATTGCAACACCATAATTATAATTCAATATAATTATTAATGTGATCATGTATATATGTCCTTAAAACGATTGTCTCTAGGACACATATACCATAAAATATGTGTTTAGTTATATATATATGAAGAAAAAAAAAATGTGAATGGTGGTGATTGCATATTTAAGTTGTTTGTTTGTTACACGTTGGATATATAGGTTATTGTAACGTGACAATAGATAATAGGAATAGGTAAGGGAAAAATTTATAAATGTTTAATATTTAGTATTGAAAGGCTAAAGTTCTAATGTTACGATTGGATAAAAATTCAATTACGTTGTCTCATTACCCATAAAACCTACATTATTCATTATTTTACTATTTTCATTTTACTCCATTCATAGTATCTAAAAAAGAATAACCTTTTTATAAATTTAGAAACTTTTTCCCGCCAAAATCATTAAATATATCTTATATATAGTAATTGTTGGACAAATCTGAATAGACAAAAAAATCCGCTCATTAATTGTGTAAAGATTTATTTCTCTTTTTTCTGTTTCTTAGTTTATCGTTTTGACAATAAATATTTGTTTTTCTTGTTCCTATTTTTGGTATAAATCTATACAAGATTATCTCTTCTGTTACAAAATCTCATCCCATTGCATACGTCTTACGTGTTTAAAAAATCTCATCTCTTATCTATACAGATTTGAAAAAATAAAATAAAATAGAGCCAATTCATAATTACTACTAGAAATTCATTATCTTTAAAAGGAAAAAATAAAATAAAATAGAAACCAATTCATAATTACTACTAGAAATCCATTATCTACTTTAAGAAGCTAATTTTCATCGGTCTAATTACTAATATTTTTACAAATATTCTAAGCTAACCATATAAAAAAGTATAATAATAATTTTGAAATAGTGTGTAATCAAATTTTTTTATATTCTCTTATACAAAATTTACATTGTTTGACCCCGAATCTTTAATTTATAATTATTAAGTATTGTTTATCCTCCTCTTTTATTTATAATTATTTTTTTCTTCCTCTTTTTAAATAGGATCAATAGTAGTTTTCACTTCCGCCATTGACTCAAACTCGGGGTCTATTTATAATATTGTTAATTTAATATTGTTCCCGTGCATCGCACGGG